GGGCGACGGGGGGGGGGGGGGGCCGCCATGATGGCGGCGGCGGTGGCGCGGAGGGGGCGGTTGGGCCGGGAGGGCCGCGCCAGCCTTTGCTCCTTCCTGCTCGGCGCCTCGGTGGCTGCCCTGCCACTGCTGCTCGGCTCGTCCCCCTCCCTGCTGGCCGCTCCCGGCCTGCGCGGCCGCCTAGCTCTCGCCCTGCACGTGGCGGGCGTGAACGCGGCGCTGCTACTCGTCTATCCGCGGCCGCTCTACAAGGTACGGGGGTGGCCCCGGCGGGCGGCGGGATGAAGTGCGGCTGTGGAGGGTTCCGTACCGGTCTCGAGGTGCGCCGGTAGGGATACCCCGGGCCCGGGGAGCGGCGGCGGCAGCGCGTTCTCCCCTCCCTGTGCTTGCAGATCGCCGTCCGGGCCTGTTTCTTAGGCTTCGCCTTCGGCTGCGGGCTGCTGCTGAGCGCCGGCCGCTCCGCCTGGCGCCACTTCGGATGGTAAGGGCCGGGCCGGGAAGCCGGGAGGGCGCGGTGCCCCCGGCCCTACTAAACCCGCCCTTCCATCCCTCCCGCCGCAGGTACATGTGTTCCCTCTCCCTCTTTCACTACTCGGAGTATCTGGTGACAGCCATCAACAACCCGCGCAGCCTCTCGCTGGACTCCTTCCTACTCAACCACAGCTTCGAGTACAACTTGGCTGCCCTGTCCTCCTGGGTGGAGTTCACGCTGGAGAAACTCTTCTTCCCAGGTCGGCCACCCCATCCCTCCCTGATTCTGCCCAGCTGCACGTGGCTCGCCTGGGGTCCATCTGTCTGATGGCAAAGTGCAGGTGACCCTCAGCTTGCTGCCCTGTGACAGCCCTGCATCAGCTTTGTCATGGTCATAATCCCTAAGTGCTCAAAGCCTCTCGGGTTGGATCTTGGGAGGGCAGGGGGGAGCCCCTCCTCACTCTGACATGCCAGGCCAGGGGATTTTCAGCCCTTTCCTGCCTTGGAGGTACAAGAATGATGTGTCAGGTATATCTGGGTGCCGCCTTTTGACAGGAACAAAATCAAGTCATCAAAATATGTTGCTGGTTGCCCAGTTGAGGCAAACTGGCTGTGCTCACGTGTTTATTCCTGGGAGAGGGAAGCTGTTCCCCTTTATTGTTTTGTAGCAGTCTGAGTATGTCCTTGGCTGTGCTTTGTGTTATCTTTGCTGAGCCTCTACAGCTGGGCCCCGCGGACTAATCTATGCTAACACTAAGCAGGGGTTGCTGGTTTTGTCTGTTTGGTGTGGGAGGGCAGCGCGTGACTGCTGCTGTCGCACATTTTGCTTTGAGATGGGGGCAAAGCCCACTCACTGAGCAGCCCCCTGAACCCCTCGAGACCTGTGCAAACCCGTTGTGCCCCTCCCTGTCCATGCAGAGCTGAAGCAGATCACCTGGCTGAGCACCGTGGGGCTGCTGATGGTGATCTTCGGGGACTGCCTGAGGAAAGCAGCCATGCTTACGGCCGGCTCCAACTTCAACCACATCGTTCAGAACGAGAAATCTGACACCCACACTTTGGTGACAAGTGGGGTGTATGGGTGGTTCCGGCACCCGTCCTACGTGGGATGGTTTTACTGGAGTATTGGAACACAGGTACTGTATCCAGTGTGCTCAGATTCTTTCTTGTCACAACCCCAGTCTTTGCTCTCAGTGCTGCATACACTGTGATGGGGTGCAGACACCACCTGATGCTGGGCATGGATTCTGCTGCCTCCCACTGGCACACAGGAAATCAGGAATCCCTGAGCACTCTGGCCCATGTGATCTTTGGGAAGATCCTGTTCCTTTAATTTTCTCTGTGCAGTAAGGAGACGTGATGGAGCTGGGGTTTTGACCCACAACCCCCTTGGAGGCTTGGGGTGGGATTTGCTGCTGGTCTAAAGCTGGTGTTCAGAGTTTTCTGTATCCCTGTGGTCAAGATGCCTTCCACGAGTGGTCAGACTCAACCTGGCTCCTGCCAAACACCAGTCCTGTGCTTGAGGGCAAGGACACTCCCTGACTAGAGGGTCAGCTCTGGCTAGCTGCAGCTGAGCCATAGCTCAGTGCTTCTGTAGCTGTCTGTTCTTTTGGCTGGCTGGGCACTGGCATTGGATTATGTTTCTCTGGAGAGAGTCCGTGGATAGTACATAGAGCTTTTGAGAGCTGGGGCAGTACGCCAGTGCTTCCTGTGTGCTGCTTTCTTCATTCTAGGGAGAAACTCGTGCTTATGAAGTTTCAGAAGGAGTGTTGGGGTCTTTTCTTTTTCTGTGCCAATGTTTCTGGAGGGGGATGAGCTGTGGGGCTGGGGCAGTCTTGGGTTCTCGAGGGGACGCTCACCAGCAGCATCTGTTCCAGGTGTTGCTCTGCAATCCCATCTGCGTGGTGGGCTACGCACTGGCGTCCTGGCGCTTCTTCAGGGAGCGGATCGAGGAGGAGGAGATCACACTCATTCACTTCTTTGGAGAAGAGTACCTGGAGTACAAAAGGAAGGTGCCTTCGGGTCTCCCTTTTATTAAAGGAGTCAAACTGGAACTGTAACATGGGCGAAAACCAGACTGGCTGAGCACACGCCCAGCTCCTGCTGTGCCCAGAGCCTGTGTTGCACTGGCCTCTGGAGGTGCCTGTTGGTATTTCCCGGCCACCCAGGAGGAGCTGGTGGAGGGCTGCGGCATTGGGCAGCCTGCTGGGTCACTCATAGATCAGAAGCTTGTTCGTCCTCCTTGAGATCAGTCCTTTGTTGCACATTCAGGGATCTTCCAGATAACTTAGCCTGTAGCGACCCTAAAGAGAATGAGTCCTGCCTGCAGCAGCTGAATTGTCTTGGAATGGCTCTGGAACTGATTCTACCAGAAAACAGCACTGCCTTCCTGGCCCTGGATGGGGAAGGTGCTGGGCAGCAGATTGTTCCTGTTGCATAATTCAATTTTAAAGCTTTCTGACCTCGTGAGCCCGGTGACACGGCTTTAATCTCTTCGGGCCAAACTCCTTGAGCTGGCACTGAGGCAGCCAGTGGGAGCAGCCTCTGGCTCTGCCTGCCCTTGAAGCACCAGAGTGCCAGCAGCACAGCACCACCCAGTTCTCTCTAGGCCTTGGAGTCTGCAGGGAGGGTTCTGCTGCTCCCCTCATGCCACTGGATCTGAGCACTTCTGGGCCCGCTTCTCTTCCCTCGGATGCTGCTGTGGATGCAGTGTCACTGCTCCAGCTGCTGCCTCCCGCTGCCACCTCTGTTCCTTCTTCCTGCTTCCAAATCACGCTGCTTCCTATCCTGCCAGGCTGCCTCCGTCTTGCAGAGGTCCCAGGATTCTGGGTTGTGAAAGAACCACAGCTGCCAGGCTTGCTAAGGGCTTTAGTCCCTGAGATCCTCCCCTGCTCTTTTGGGCAAAAGCTGTGATGTCAGGGTGAGTAGGAGATGCTTCTAGGGAAATGTCCAACTAGGAGAAGAGTTGGGCTAACAAACGCTCTTTTATAGTAGCCATTTGGAAATGGTTCCCACTGAGCTGTGTGGTATAACTTTGTTGTTAAATACCAAAGAGGTTCACTGTTTTCTTGAGTTCTACATTATTCTTCCTTGCTGGAATGGAAATGAGTTGCTTGTCAGTTCATGCTTGGAGCTTGTGGTGTTCCATGGGGAAGGCGCTGCGGTATGGCTCAGGAAGGGGCACTTGGTGAGAATGGCTTGGGTTTGGGTTTAGGTTTTCTATTTTATAAAAAAAAAAAATAGAGAAAACTTTGCCATCTTCTGTCTGGTTATTTGAAGGTCTCTTGAGGTGCTGGTGGCACTTTGAGGTGCTGGAAACCGGAATTTTTATAATTCCTGGTGGGTTCTCAGAACACACCAGTGCTGTGTTGAGGTACGATTGTGACTCAGTGACTTGTGGGGCTGTGGAGCCACAAGGATGAGGCTGACCCTAACCCCGACCCTCCAGTTCTCCTTGCTGAACTGATGCAGAGTCCATCCTCCACTGGGTTTGCTTGATTACAGAGCATCTGCCTGATACCCTCGCTGGTAATGTGTCCTTTGCTGAGCAGAGTTTTGGCTTGGCAGAAAAGAACAAAGGTGAAAACTCACCAGCTGGAGAGTGCTGATCTGTGCTGGGCACTTGGAGGCTCCCACTTGGGCTGTTCTTGTTCAGGAAGCTCTGGTTGCAGCCAGGGATGCCTCAAGCTGGTGAATTGTAACTAATTTTTTTGTAGGCAGTAATGTTCCTGCTGTGCCCTTGATCAAAGAAACTTTGAAACAAGCAATTGTCACTTGGGTTT